TGCTAGGGTTTGGTCTCCAAATTTCAAACTGCCTGCCTGCGTGGCCTGGGGAGAAAAACTTGTCTGGGAGTAATTCAGCTCCAGACCAGGACTCAATGTGACATTTCGGGACTGTCCTGCCCAGTGAGGGCCAGACGGTCCCCTACCCACAGCAATCCTCATGGCACTGCAGCCAGGGGTAAGGGGGCTACCAGCAGGAAGAGGAGCCTAAGATAGCAGTGTCCCCCGCCCCTCACTGCTGGCTGGCCGAGAAGGCTGCCCGCTTCCTTGCCCCTGTGGTGCTTGCCCTGCTCCACTAATCTGCAGCAAAGAGCAGCGCTGCATGATGGACAGCCCTAGCAACCAATCAGTGGCAAGGGGTGGGGCTACTGGGACCCCCTTGGCTAAAGGCACAGTGTGGGGGGGGGGAGAGGGCCACAATCAGCCTACGAAAATGGTGGCCGGCCTCCGTGATCTCCACGCTCAGTTTGAGTGCCGACCTGCTACCTGCCATACACCCCTCAATGCCTGCATGCAAGGTACATTGCCCAATACGAGGATTTTATGTTGGGCTGGGAGTATGGGGCAAGCCTCTCTTTGGATCACCACAAAACATGCCTCTGCCAGGAGGAGATTCTCCCTAAAAAAGACTGGGCAGAGTCCTGCCTGACACGGAGCTCAGTCAGTACTGAGTGCCCACCAGACAACTGGCAGCCCCCCATGCCTGTGTAATAAATACATTGCCCCGAATATGGAGCTGAGTTGTGGATGGGATCATCAGGCAAAATCCTTTTTTGGTCACTCCAGAAGACGTGTCACCACCGCCAGAAGAGTCCCGTGACAAAGCCTGGGACAGCGTTTCCCAGCCTGAAGCTTGGTTTTCACGTGCCAGCCTGCCAACTGCCAGCCCCCAGACCCACGCGCCATTGACATTGTTACACATAAGAAGCTGCTTTTAGACTGGGATTATGGGGCAAAACCCACCTTGGGTCACCACAAAACACGTCACCACCACTGAGGGGCTCTCCTGAACAAGCCTGGGCAGATTTCTGCTTGACCCGCAGCTTGATTTTTGAGTACCAGCCTGCCAGTGTCACCCACCCTGTAAGGCAGGGGCGGGCAAAATACGGCCTGTGGGCCCAATCCAGCCTGCCAGGCACATTCATCCAGCTCACGGCGCCCACCAATTAATTGTGCCCAGCCCTTTGTGGGCAGAAGGGCCTGGCCCGTACAGCAGCAGCATCCAGCAGGGCTGCTGCTGCTACTGCCGCCAAGGACCTGCTTGGCTTCCCCAGTCTCACCGGGGCAGAGCAGGAGACAGACACAGAGTGTCTGTTGCAGAGAGAGGGATGTCCACAACTGATCCCATCCCTCTTTGCTCCCACTTCCTGCCTAAACTGAATCCAATTGAGAAAATGGCCCCAAACTCCCTAAGAAACAGTGCATCCAAGCAGAGTTCCTGTTCTCCCAAAAAGGGACAGGATCCAGAGATCCCATGAACTTCACTACAGATTCTGCGGTCACAGATCAAGTTCTGCCTGGTAGGAGCTTGTACTTCAGGAGGTGGGCATCAGTGTAAAACCCCACTTGAAAAAATAGTACATTTTCTGAATGAGCTGTTCCATCAAACCTGTGCAAGTCCCAGGGCTGCAGGATGCTGGAAGACTCATTCTGCTGCTTGCATTCAAAATATGTTTATGATTCTGTATCAAATCACCCCTGACATGGGCCAATGTCAGGAACAAGGATGTGACAATTCTCCTGCCAAGTGAAAAACTCCAGGAAGTCCTGGATCCTCTGAAGAAAGAGTTGGAGAGAGCCCTGGCAATGGAGTCCAAGAAGGAGAGCATCATGGTGTGGAAGGCAGGTGCCAGGTTTTCTTTCCTTAAGAGCCCGTTCTCAATGCAGGGCTGGCAGTGACAGGTGGGGGCAGCTGCCAAGCTTTGTCCCCTTAGGTGCTGCAATAACACAAGGTGTACATGGATACGGCGTTCTAGGGAGGGCTGCGCCCATACTGAGGGTTTCTTTAAAGCAGGCAGGCTAAGCCCTTCATCACTGTCTCCCAGCAGAGGTGCAGCTTTGGTACTGATAGTCCAGAGGAGAGAACTGATCTTTCCTGACTTTTGTCACGCTTTCCAAGCAGGAGGAGTGTTTGCTCCCAAGGCTACAGCATTTTTTGCACAGCCCCAAGCCTGTGTCTTTGTCCTTCCAAGCCATCCCAAGGGGCTTATGGGCCCCACGCCAGAGAGTTAGGATCCTGCTGGTATTTCCGTTCCTGTGAGTTTCTTTATGGAGCTCTATAAAACCTTCAGGCTCTGGATCACACTGAGCATCACTGTGCCAGAGAGGACTACTGTACAGCCCCGTCTGAGGTCACCCGGCACACTGGGTTACCCTGTCCTGGGTACCTGGTGCTGTTCCCCACCCCCCACACACCTAGTGTCTCCCCATGAAGTTCTGAGTTTTCCTATCAGCCATTCCTGGGGCAAGGGGGAGGCAGTATTTGTTCCTCTAACCTGGACCCAGGAACAAGGACTCCAGAGCTCCCCATGGTGGGGCAGCTCTCACAGAGGCAGAGCTCATGTTTGGTGGGACCCATTGTAGGGGCCTTACCTCAGCCCTGCATTTTATCTTGAAATACATTGTGAGTATATATGTCCTGACACTCAGGCTGCCAGTTAAGCAGTAGTCACTTTCCCCATCCTAGAAGAGAACAAACACACTGGCAGGCAGGCCTGACTCCTGTGTGCAAGAGTTCCTGTGGGTGATGGGGGTGTTCTTCTGGGATGCTCCCCATCATCTCCTTTGGCCAATGCCGGCTTGAAGTTCCCTGCATTAAACGCTTCTTCCATTCTTACCCGCTTGCGATGACTGCGCAAAGGAAAGACAGCACAGCAGAGCGTCCCATGCAGGGGTGATGCTAGGGTGGGGCTTGTGGGGCTAAAGTTACCCCAAAATTCCCCACAGCTACCCCTCCCAGCCCCCCCATGCCAGGAAGATGCCAGCACAGCCCCTGGCCAAGACCACAACGGCCAGCCTGTCTTCACCACCCCCAGAAATCTGGGCGGGAACATGCCCCCTGCCTCCCCCAGAGGCAACAGTATTGGTTACACAGGTACAAAAAAAAAAAAAAAAAAAAAAGCCAATGGTCAATAACATTAATTTTCCTTTTGTTGGTGCCGATCTAATATGCCACCAACATATCAATGCACCTCTAGCTGACAGAGGACAAGAACAGTACACAGTGACTTCATCTCCTGTCTGCCAGTGAAAAGGTGAAACTAAGGGTCACAACCCTCTTGGTTTTGCTGCTTGTTCTGAAAGGACAAAGCAGAGCAGAGAGGGAGAATTAAGTCCGAGTGCGAGAAAGAGCACCTGCTTCTGCAGGAACTAGAGGGAAGAGCAGGAGACTCAGAGGAGCCACCAGGAAAATACAGCCCAACTCTCCAAGCAAAGCTCCTCTCTGTGCAAGCTGATCTCGGAGATAGAGGAGGGAAGCCTGCAGCCACCTGCTGAAGGTGAGTCTGTGCTGCTGATCCTCCCCCTCACTGCTGCTGCCTTCTGGCTCCAAGCAGCCCCTCTGCCTTGATTCCAGAACCGGTGGAAACTGAACCAAGTCCCAGGCAAGAGCCTCCATCAGTCTAGAGATCTGCCAGTTTGTACTGGGAGGAAATTCCGATTTGAGAGACGCATCAAGTTATTAAACAAAAGATGAACAAGACAAAATAGCCTGAGCAATATAACGCTGAGACAGAGGAGAGCAGAGAAATGCTCCACTCCCCACTTCGACTGCATTCAAGTGCACCAGGCAAAGGAAGACTTAGGGATTTTTCTCCCACCAAAAAAGTGATGCATATGGAATAGAAAAGTCATAAACTCACTGCATGTTGGTGCAGGTGGTTTCACCCAGTAACAGAATGACTATTTTTTCCTCTTTTACCCTTTCTAGGATGTGAAAATGACCTTGGACAGGTGCTGTGTCTTCCCTTTTCCCTTCCCTGTAGATTCCTGCTTGTGGGTGGCAGGAGTATCTCCACCGAAGAGCTGGGCTGAGCAATAACAGGGGGATGGTCTTCTTAGGAGCAAGAACGTGAAGCTTCAGGAAGCAAAAGCTGTATCTACAGAACTGAAGACCGCGCGCAGCATCCCAGGGACGATGGAAATTCAAAAGTACACGGGGCGCATGTCGAGCTCATTGGCAGTAGTAGTTATCACCCGTGTTGAGAGCACTGGGTAGATGTAAAACGCACAGCGAGTACAGTGGGATGCGACTGACTTGTGAGCAGGCAGCCCCCGAGGCCTGGAGCCGCCTCCACAGCCCGTGTCCCAGGGACTCTGGGCTGGCAGAGCAGAAAGTCCATGATACTGGGGGTGGGTGGCTCCAGTGAACAGGGGAGGTTGCAAACAGGAAAATAAAGGCCAAGCAGGTGGATCCTGCCCTACAACTTGGACGAACGCGTGTCTGGATCACGCCATGAGATGCCGTTAAACAGTTAATCACCTCTTGTCACATGCCACGTGCCCGGGGCCTTACAGATTGGAAACCAAGGCCAGCCGCTGGGCAAAGGCCTGCAGGAAATTCAACAAGAACAGGCGGGGCCGGCTCCACCCCTCGGCCACGGCCACGACCACGGCTGCCGCAACACGGCACCTGCCCAGGGAGGACGGTGGGGTTTGCGCTCCCCCCACCCCCGTCTGCTCCGTTACAGGCTCCAGCCCGAGTGGGAGCGCGCACCCCGGGGTCTGCCCCTCGCCCCCGTGGCCTGACGCTGCTGCTGCCTCCGCCTGCGCGCAGAGCCCCCGGCCGGGCTGCGCTTCCTCTTCACCCAGCAGAGCCGGGCTCTGCTACAACAGCCCAGCGCCCACCCGCCCGCGTCACACCCAGCCCGAAGCCCACCACAGCCCGACGCGGCTCCGAGCCCCAATGTCACCCGGAGCCGCCCGGGCACGGGGGAGGGGAGGGGGACCCCGCATCGCCCCGGAGACGCGGTCGCGACCCGTGACATCACGCGGGCACTCACCATCGCGACGGGACCCAGGGACACGAGCCGGCAGCGCTCGGACCGGAACCCGCGCCCTGCGCATGCGCATGCAGGGCACATGGGGGGGAAGGAGGAGCTTCTTGTAGCCCCGCCCCGCCCGGACGGAAGCGCGGCTTTCTGTTGCCGCTCGCGGCGTCCCGAGCCCCGCGGCTCCCGGGGAAGGCCGTGGCCCAGCGGCCGCGAGAGGAGGCAGAGCCGGCGCGGAAGGGAGCCAGGGGCCGCGTTTAATGCCATGGACACAGGATTGCGCGCTTCAACCGCGCGGCCAAGCTCCAGCCCTCCGCACCTGACGTGCCTTCCTCCAGGACCAGACCAGCATCGCCAGCACCGACCAGTGCCGGTGACTGGGCCCGTCTCGTGGGCGCTGAAGGAAGCCGGGCGGGCCAGGCCCTCGCAGGTCACGCGTGGGGATGGCTCTGTTCATCAGCTCGTGTCCACGGGTGTTTCACCACCCAGAGCTCCTCTCGCCGGCGGGCGGGGCGAGTCCGCTCATACCCACACGAGGCGATTGGTCCTTGAATGTCACACCCGCTCCCCCCCCCCTCGCTGGGCACCTGCGAGGGAAGACAGGCGCAGCCTTGAAGCGCAGGCTACAGCAGCGGAGCTCAGCCCGCACTTGTCTGCCCACTCAGCTTCCAGCTGGGGCTTCGGGGGGGGGGGGGGATTTTTTTCCCTTTATTCCACTTTCCCCAATAAAGGTGGGAGTCTTATTTGGAGGGAGGGTTGGTAAACTAAAAGATACAGTAATCCTATCATCTTATTTCTTAGCTGATCTGTGCTTGGCATTAATTTAACCAATCAACCCCCCCTTCCCAACTCCTTGGAGAAAAAGTGTTGGTAAACATCACACAAAGCAAAGGTGCTTCTCCTCTCTGACAGTTCAGGGATTGGGATGTTATTAAGTCATTCACAAATTGGACAACAACAACAGCAAAAACATGGCATAGCCAGCAGCTGATTGGTCTTGGAAAACCATCGGAAAACCCCTTCAATTCCAATAGCGGTAATTATTAAGATCCAAACAAAATTAGCATGGATAAACCACCCCTAAACCAGGTGGTACTCAAGCATAAAATAAGTTGAATCCAGCACAGGATGAAATGGGGGTGTTTGGGAAGCCCCCAGAGGGTACTCTGCAGCAGCGTGGAGAAGTGGGACTATTCATCTGTGCGCTGGCAGCACTTCTGGTTTCACCACTGGCAGTTCTGGGCTTGGCAACGGCCACCGTTCCCCACTCCCGCTTGTTGACTAGCCGTTGGGGGTACACGAGCCCGAAAAGCTTGAAAACCCCTGCACTACGATTTTCTATATATAAGTGGGAACTCTCCCTTGCTTCTTGTGCCAGTTTCTGGGGATGCAGGTTGGCAACCAGGTTGTGATCTGTAAGCACCTGTACTTTGTGCCATGGCTCTTCAAAGCGTTGCCACGACTTCCCAAAAGCCACTCTAACACCCATGAGTTCATTGGTCAGGATCTCAAGATTTCTTTTCTGCTCAAGTGGGTTTGCAGCAAAAGAAGAGGCAAGGATGCAGGATCTGGTCTGGGCCCTGCCATTGCAAGAGCACCACACGTATTACAGTGCCGGATGCATCCCTTTCTACCACAAAGACGAGATTGAATCTGGATGACCTAGCAAATCGGCAGGGGTGAAGGCCCATTTCAGATATTCAAAGGCTCGCTAGGCTGCCACAGTCCAGTAAAACTGGAGATTTTTACTTAGTAGAGTGGGAAGAGGGCTAGCAATAGATAGCAATAAACCTGACACAGGCTGCCAGATGTGGAAAGTGCAGCTGGGCTCCAAATCACCACCTCCAACTTCACCCTGCTCAGCTACAGTTTAGGTCTCTGGACTCTGAACCAAGACGAGAGAAATCAAAAGAGAAGATCTACTGGCTTTATCCCTCCTGGTGGGAATGCCACTATCGAATAGGAACTGGAGCCTAACATGGTATTCGTATGGTTAAGGGCTTGCAGGCCAAGCCGTACGAGGAGAGACTAGAGAACCTGGACCTCTTCAGCCTCCACAAGAGAAGGTTGAGAGGTGACCTTGTGGCTGCCTATAAGTTCATCACGGGGGCACAGAAGGGAATTGGTGAGGTTTTATTCATCAAGGCGCCCCCGGGGGTTACAAGAAATAATGGCCACAAGCTAGCAGAGAGCAGATTTAGACTGGACATTAGGAAGAACTTCTTCACAGTTCGAGTGGCCAGGGTCTGGAACGGGCTCCCAAGGGAGGTGGTGCTCTCCCCTACCCTGGGGGTCTTCAAGAGGAGGTTGGATAAGCATCGGGCAGGGGTCATCTAGACCCAGCACTCGTTCCTGCCTATGCAGGGGGTCGGACTCGATGATCTATTGAGGTCCCTTCCGACCCTAACATCTATGAATCTATGGCTGTGGCCATGGGTGTAAGTGGAGGCCTAACTTCATCAGCAGGGTCTCAGTTGGACTCTCCCATGTTCCCATTTACTTGATGGAGCTGCTCTGGGAGAGAAGCAGACATTTGGCCTTTCTCTTTGCAGCAAATGAGGCTGGCTGTACTCCACATGGGGCATGACCCATTTTGGCTAGTGAGGGCCTTAGTGGACTTAGGGGCCTCCCTATGCTCCTATTCAACCCTGTTCAGGGCCCTGACAACATATGCTGATGCATCTACTTTTGTAACACCCCACTCTCTTCTCCATGGGGTGGCAGTAGAAGTTTCTTGAAGACCCCCATCAGCATGTGCAGGCCTGGGAAAGGGGTGATGCAGTGGGGAGGAAAGGCATGGTTACGGTGGAAGGCAGGGAACGATTCCCTAGGAATAAATGTCCTCCTTGCAACTCTAGAGCCTCACAAACAAGAATCTTGGGACCAGGAGGGAAGTCGGAGCTGGGCCAAAGACAAGTCCCCGAGTGTCATTTGGAGCCAGCTGTCCTGGGGAGGACACCAATTGCGAAGGCATTTCTTCTCCCCATGGGAGCACTGACTGCTTTTAGAGAACGATGGGGATGGCCCAGGCTTCAAGGCTGATGCAAAGATCATCTCTCAGGTTCCCCCAGCATCTGGGCTGGTCTCTGCCTGAGGTGTTGCCTCTTAACCCTTCACCTGCATCGAACCTGGGAGGCCAACCTCTGTGCCTTTTGGGTTCTACAGTGCCCTGGCAGGGCTGAAAGAAGAGTGAACTGTTGCTGCAATGCACGAGCATGAGACTGCTTCCCTGGATATATACACTGGTGGATGCTGAGCAGGTATACATCCTCAATCCCTTCCTGTGTTGCTGGCAGAATTATGGACACTCCTGGATATGAATGCACTGATGCTGGGCCAGTTTGGAGGAGTGGAGGAAGCACTTCCCACACTCTGAGCACTGATGTAGCTTCTCCCCCAAGTGGATAGTCTGGTGTTGGGCCAGGTCGGAGAATTGCTTGAAGCTTTTCGCACACTCCGAGCACCGATGTGGTTTCTCCCCCATGTGGATAAGATGATGCCGGGCCAGGTGAGAGGATCGGTTGAAGCTTTTCCCACACTCCAAGCAATGATATGGTTTCTCTCCTGTGTGGATACCCTGGTGCCCTGCCAGGTCAGAGTACTGCTTGAAGCTTTTCCCACACTCCGAGCACCGATGTGGTTTCTCCCCCATGTGGATAACCTGGTGTCTGGACAGGTAGGAGGATGTGGTGAAGCACTTCCCACACTCCAAACACTGATATGACTTTTCCCCCATGTGGATACGCTGGTGCTGGGCCAGGCTGAAGGATCGGTTGAAGCTTTTCCCACATTCTGAGCACTGATGCGGCTTCTCCCCTGTATGGATCAGCTGGTGCTGGGCCAGGTTACAGGATCGGTTGAAGCTTTTCCCACACTCCAAGCAATGATATGTTTTCTCCCCCGTATGAATAACCTGGTGCCGGGCCAGGTCAGAGGACTGTTTGAAGCTTTTCCCACACTCCAAGCAATGATATGTTTTCTCCCCCGTATGAATAACCTGGTGCCGGGCCAGGTCAGAGGACTGGTTGAAGCTTTTCCCACACTCCGAGCACCAGTGTGGTCTCTCCCCAGTGTGGATGAGCCGGTGTTTGGTCAGGTTGGACAACAGGATGAAGCTCTTCCCACACTCCAAGCACTGATGTAATTTCTCCCCCATGTGCATAAGATGGTGCCGGGCCAGGCTGGAGGATCGGGTGAAGCTTTTCTCACATTCCGAGCACTGATGTGGCCTCTTCCCTGTGTGGATCATCTGATGCTGGGCCAGGTTACAGGATCGGTTGAAGCTTTTCCCACACACAGAGCACTGATGTGGCTTCTCCCCCGTGTGGATGATCTGGTGCCGGGCCAGGTCAGAGGATTGCTTGAAGCTTTTCCCACACTCTGAGCACCAATGTGTTTTCTCCCCTGTGTGGACGAACTGGTGTTTGGTCAGGTAGAAGGATGTGGTGAAGCTCTCCCCACACTCCGAGCACTGATGTGACTTCTCCCCTGTGTGGATCAGCTGGTGCTGGGCCAGGCTGGAGGATCGGTCGAAGCTTTTCCCACATTCCGAGCACTGATGTGGCTTCTTCCCTGTGTGGATCAGCTGGTGTTGGGCCAGGTTACAGGATCGGTTGAAGCTTTTCCCACATTCTGAGCACTGATATGGCTTCTTCCCTGTGTGGATCAGCTGGTGCTGGGTCAGGTTACAGGATCGGTTGAAGCTTTTCCCACATTCGAAGCAATGATATGGTTTCTCTCCTGTGTGGATAATCTGGTGCCGGGCCAAGTCAGAAGACTGCTTGAAGCTTTTCCCACACTCCAAGCACTGATGTGGTTTCTCCCCTGTGTGGATGAGCCGGTGTTTAGTCAGGTTGGATGACAGGATGAAGCTCTTCCCACACTCCGAGCACTGATGTGACTTCTTCCTTGTGTGCATGTACCAGTGCCTGGCCAGGTTGGAGAGCTGCCTTAATCTCTTCCCACGCTTGGTGCAATGGTGCCACACACTCTGATGCTGGGATAGGTCTTGCCAGCAGATGAAGTTCTTCTTGCACTCAGTGCAGCAGCATGTCTTCCTGCCCTGGTGGATGTGCCTGTGCTGAGACAGGGAGAAAAAAAAAGGGTGAATGTCTCACCATACTTGACACAGCTGTGCCTGACGCTTCCCCTTCTGCACATGTAGGTGCTTGACCAGGTCTGTGGGGCACACAAAGCTCTTCCCCCATTTGGTGAAGTGCTGGGGTAGCTCTCCAGAATGCATCTGGTGGTGAGCAATGTGGGTACAGAGACAGGTGAAGCTCTTCCTACATTTGGTGTATACATAGGGCTTCTCCCCAGTGTAGTTTATCTTGTGAAGAGCCAGGACCGATGGGCACTTAAAAGGTTTTCCTGACCTGGGGTAGGGGTGGGCTCTGTGCCTGTGCTGGGCAGTGAGCTCCTGCTTCTCTCTGAGACCCTTCCCATGGCCTTGGCTCGGATGTAGTGTCTCTTTCCAGTGGCTCCTTAGGTCTCTCAGCTCCACACAGCTACAACCCAACACTCCCTGCACCCAGAGCTCTTTCTGGGTTCTGCCCCTTCTCCACTCTCACACTCAAGAGGAGATGGTACCTGGTTCATTGCTACATTCTCCTTCTGCTTTTGGAGCCTCCCCTGACTCTTGTGCCATTGCTCCTTCTCAGGTCTCAGGGAGTCCATCTCACCCAAACTCCCTGGAGAAGCCTGTGCTGGCTCCAGATCTGCAGACCCTTCTGCAGTAGGCTGCTCCTCAGCTCTGCTCAGCATCCAGACACCTCCTACATGGGGAACAGAAACTCCAGATTAGTCCCTGCCCTGCTGCCAGAGGGCAAATCCTGCTATTCCTTCTGCTAGGATGGGCCTCAGAGCAGGCCTGGACCTTGGCACTTGTGTTTCCTCAAGAAAACAAGGTCTTCCTCCAGTGCTGGGGGTGAGGGAGAGGCAGGTCCCTGTGCTGGATTAATGTTCCCTAGTCGGTGGAGTTCAGAACCAGACTCTCAGAGTTTCTGGCCCAGCTGTCCATGCCATCACCTCAGGCCCTGCTAAGACAAGCACATGTGGGACATGCATGTTAGGGCAGTGCCTGAATAGCTTCATGGTCTAATGGATTAAGCATGAGGGGAGGACTTAGACCTGTGGCTCTCTTCTGAGAGAAGCAGGGCTGTACTTCCTGCCTGCCTCCAGGGAAAGATCTTGTGCAGGGAATGCACCCATAGAGCTTTCCTCTGCTGACAGGTCTCAGGTGGCCTCCATGTCCCAGGAGTCTTCAAAGGGTCTAAAGCCTTAGCATGAATCTGAACCTGGACTCTGTGCTGAATCTCAGGCTCTGTGACACTTAAGGCCCCAGACAGGAAACAGGAAGGGGACAATTCTGATGCAAACCATGGGTGATTCACTTCCCGCCCTCCAACAACCTGAAATCTTATGAATCCCAACCATGGATTCAATATAGACCTTGGATCTGACACATTACAACCTACCAGACATCTGATTCACAGGGTACCTGCCAGACATGACCTCTTACATTTCCCTCCCCACTTTCTCCCCTCCCCTCCCTACTTTTCTGCCCTTTGTCTTCCTAATTTCCAGCCATTTCCTTTTTCAAAGACCATCTGTTTTCTACCTTGTATTACCAGGACTGTAGAGTCTCCCTGACTCACCTTTGGCTTTCCCCCCTCCCCTCCCTGCTTTACTTTTTGTTTTCCTAATCTCTACCTATTTACATGCTCACTGACAACTTGTCACGCTTTTAGCTTCTCTCATTCCTTGGAGTTTCAGAACAGCAGAGACTTCCTATTCCTGAAGAAGAGTAATTGTGCCCAAAAGCTTGCCAAGAGCTTTTTCGAACTACTCAGTTGGTCTAATAAAATATACCATATCTTCTCAATGAACCTTGCCTGCCTATGTCCTTAGATCAACATGACTACAACCAAAAACCCAGCAGAGAGTGGGAACAACACCTGCCTGGACACATTACAGCATAATACACTGTGTTTGAGGTCAGTACCCTGGAACAGCAGCACAGGACAAACCTGCCATTTCCAGGTCCCCCTGGCATTCTGGAGCTTTACTGAGAGCAGAGTGAGGTGGAGGGGACAACCACAACTCACCTGGCAGCAGGTCCTGTGATCTTGAGATTTCCCCACTGTCCTCATCATCACAAACCCAGAGCTCCACCTGCCCTTGCTGGATGCTGCAGATTAAAGCAGGTGTGGGACCTCGATATCCTGTTTGGGGCAGCAGTTAAAGAAGGTTTGTGACTAGATACTAAATGCAGAATAATCAACCTGGATTTGGGGAATGGATCCAATGAATTCATGGTTTCTACTAGGGCTTTGATGGATAAGGGAGAATAGGCATTTATGATGAAAGAGAAGGCACTGCAGGGAGAAGCCTTCAAGAGATGATGGTCCTTGTCACCCAGGTGGTAGGGCAGAGGCAGGCAATTATTTCGGGTGGAGGGCCACTTACTGAGTTTAGCAAGCCATCGAGGGCCACATGGCAGGCACCCAGGGGCAGATTAATATTAAATTTCTAAATATTTTAGGGGCTCCGCAGGCCAGATAGAATGCCCTGGTGGGCCGCATTTTGCCCACCCCTGTGGTAGAGGGATAGTTGTAGGAAACAAAGCACGAACCATTCCAAAGAGCACTAAACTGACAAGAGTCACCAGGGACAGGTGTGGAGATGCAGTGATCCAAGATGGACTAGGGAGCAGAAACAAAGCTTCTACTGTTTTCAGAGTACCAAAAAGAAGAGATATTGGACACATTTATGGATGGGTAACATTTATCTTATCGGTGTAATTCCTGGAATAAGAGTGAAAATGAGCTTAGGAAAGGTTTAAAACAAGGCAGTGAAAAGCATACATGACAGGTGGATGACAATGAGACTTTTTTTGGGGAGAGAAAGTAATTCATCATCTCCAGGGACAGGAAAGAATGATTTCATAATAACTATAGCTGCAACTGAGCAATCGTTCCATCCATTGGGAGGATCAAACCAGGAGGAGGGATGATGAGTGCATAGGTTAGCAAATATTACAGGATTTAACACAAAGTTCCTGGGATCATGGATATGGACAAAAGAAGGCAGAAGGAGACATTTCACAGCATGTGAAAGCCATAATACGGAAATAGAATGATAGAATCATAGAACCGGAAGGGACCTGGAAGCTCATCAAGTCTGGTCCCCTGCCAAAGGCAGGAGGTTAATGAGCTCAAACTAGCTCAACGAGGTGCTTATCCAGCCTCCTCCAGAACACCTCCATGGATGGTGACCACCTCTACTGGGAGTGTTTTTCAAGTTCTTGTTACCCTTATATAGAAGAAGTTCTTCCATATGCCCAGTCTAAATCTATTAGTTTGTGCCCACTGGTCCTCATCCTTCCAAGAGGTGCCTTCCTGAAGAGTTCCTCCCCCAGATCTTCGTGTTCCCCCCTGACATATTTATAGATGGGTATCATGTCACCTCTCAGCCTGCTCTTACTCAGGCTGAACAAGCCTAGTTCTCCTCATAGGGCCTATACTCCAGGCCCCTGCTCATGCGGGTAGCCCTTCTCTGTACTCTCTCAAGCTTATCCACATCCTTCTTGAAGTGTGGTGCCCAAAACTGAGCATAGTACTCCAACTGCAACTTCACCAGCGCCAAGTAGAGAGGGAGAAGCACCTCTCTGGATCTGTTGGCAACATATCAACTGATGCACACCAGCTTCCTATTCCCCCTGCTGGCAACCTCATTGCAATGTTGGCTCATATTCATTTTCTGATCGACTGTGACCCCCAGATCCCATTCGGAAGCTGTGCCAACCAATGCCTATCCTATAGTTATGGTGAAGGTTCTTCCTACCCAGATGAAGGGCCCGGCGCTTTTCCCTGTTGAACCTCATCTGATTCCGATCACCCCTAGCCCCGTCTAGGTCATCCTGGATCCTTACCCTATCCTCTGGTATTCTTGCAATTCCCCACAGCTTGGTATGGTTGGCAAATTTAATCATAGAGCATTCCACTCTCTCATCCTAGTTGTTAATAAGTATGTTAAAAAGCACAGGTCCAAGCACTGATCCCTGTGGGACATCACTGGAGCCAGCCCTCCAGGATGAGGCCATCCCATCAATGACAACTCTCTGGGACTGGCCTCTAAACCAGTTGTCCACCCACCTCACTGTAGATTGGTCCAGGCCAGTACCCTCCGGTTTAAATGAGAGAATTTCATGGGAGACAGAGTCAAAGGCTTTACTGAAGTCTAAGTAGATGATGTCTACATCACATCCCTTGTTCAGCTGGTTAGCTGTCTGATCGTAAAAGGACACCAGGTTTGTTAGGCATGATCTACCCTCCACAAAGCTGTGCTGGTTGTTTCTTGATACCCTGTCAGTTACAAGTTTGTGATTGATGGCCTCCTGAACAATTTTTTCAAAAGTTTTTCTTAGGACTGAAGTCAGACTGACCGAAGTCAGACATCCCTCCTCCTTTTTCTTAAAGATGGGTACTACATTGATCCTCTTCCAGTCATCTGGGACCATTCCCAAGTTCCACAACTTTTCAAATATCTTCGCCAAAGGCCCTGCTAGGAGTTCAGCTAGTTCTTTTAGGACTCTTGGATGTATGTCATCTGGTCCACCAGACTTGAAAATGCCCAATTGTTCTAAGAGGAACCATCACCAGGTCGGGGCTGATTTCATGTTGTCTGTTGACATCCAGATATTCCCTGGGCCTCTGGACAGGTGGACAGCTCTTGTTAGCTTTCTGGAATACCGACACGAAGTAACCATTTAGGAGCTCAGCCTTTTTGTTGGGATCTATTGAGCTGCCCCTCCATATTCAGTAGGGGTCCCACAGTGGAGCTTGATTTTCTCTTGCTCCCCATGTACCTGTAGGACTTTTTGTTGTCCTTAATTTCAGAAGCTAGCTTGATCTTCATGTCTGCTTTGGCTTTCCGTATCTCATACCTGCAGAACCTGGTTATACAAGTGAACTTTTCTCCGGTTGCTGATCCTTTTTTCCATTGCTTATATGTATGCTTTTTTCTTTTTCAAGAGTTCTCCAATATCCCTGTTGAGCCAAGCAGGTCTCTTGGTTCCTTTCCTGCTTTTTGATCTCTTGGGAACAGCTGCTTTTTGAGTGGAGAGGATTGCTCCCTTGAGGAGGCACCATCGCTTCTTAACTCCCAAATCCACCAGGTGCTGGTCACAGAGGAACTTTCTAACTGGACTCCCGAGTTTGTTAAAGTCTGCCCTTCTGAAATCTAGGACCTCTGTTCTGCTAATTGAAATCCTACCCTTCCGGTGGATGGTGAACCTACTCAGTGAGTGGTTGCTGTCAGCCAGAGTACCACCAATCCTCAGGTCCCCTACCATGTCCTCCCCTTTGGTAAACACTGAGTCCAGAATGGCTTCCCCCCTAGTTGGTCCTTCGACAACTTGTGACAAGAACAGGTCATCAACAGCTGCCAAGAAATTGGCTGACCTGCTGGACCTGGCCAAATGGTCCCAACAGTTTCATAGTTTGTAGGGTCGGAAGGGACCTGAGCAGGTCATCAAGTCCGACCCCCTGCTACGGGCAGAAAAGAGTGCTGGGGTCAAACGACGCCGGCTAGGTGTCTATGTAGCCTCCTTTTGAAGACCCCCAGGGTAGGAGCGAGCACCACCTCCCTTGGAAGTTGGTTTCAGATCCTAGCCACCCTGACTGAAGCAGTGCCTCCTGATATCTATTCTGAACCTACTCTCCATCAACTTATGGCCGTTATTCCTTGTTACTCCCCTTGTTACTTGTTAACAGATGTCAGGATAGTTGAAATCACCCATGTCAATCAGGTCTTTGGTGCTGGCTGCCTCAGTCAGTTCCCTGGAGAATGCCTGATCATTCTCTTCTTGGGAGGGAGGCCTGTAGTAGACTCCCACCATGAGATCTCCCTCTCCTGAACCCCTCCGTTTCTTGACCCAAGGGTTTTGAGGGACCTCTCCCCACTATCAAACCTGACCTGCAGGGGGAGGTACCATTCCTTCACACAGAGGGCCACCCCTCCTCCTTCTCTCCTAATGCAATCTTTCCTGTAGAGCCTGTAGCCATCAATATCCACCGCCCAAGCATGTGTGTTGTCCCACCAGGTCTCTGTGAACCTGATGAGGTCAAAATCTTCGCCTAGCAGGAGAGCCAGCTCCTCCTGTTTATTGCCCATGCTTCTGGAATCCCCATAAAGGCACCTGAGTTCCCCTCTGGTTGCCTCAAGTTTCCTGTCACTGTGCAAATGTCTCAGGGTGTTGGTGCTCATCTGGGTGTCCGCTACTTGGATGCCCTCTCCTGGGTCATTGTGGAAGGAGGATTCATGTACAGTAGTGGCTTTATATACAACAGTGGAACCTCCACCCTCTCCCCCAGTCTTGCCTAGTTTAAAACCCTCCTCAGCAAGTCAGCGATTCTCAGAGAAGAGCTTTCTCCCTCTGCCTATGAGGTGAATACCATCTCTTGCATGTAGATCACAGCTGAACCGTCTACAAAGATCAAGGAATCCGAAGCCTACACAGTGACACCATCTCCAAAGCCTTTGGTTGACCTCCTGGATGCGTTCCTCCCTTCATCAGCCTCAGCCCCTGACTGGGAGGGTTGAGGAGAAAACCACTTGTGCCCCTAGGTCCTTGAGCTTCAGCCCCCATGGTCTTGTAGTCACCCATGATTCTCCCAGGGCTGTTTCTCACCATGTCATTGGTGCTCACGTGGACAAGAAACATGGGGTAGTGGTCTGTAGGGCGGACTAACTTAGGCCTATATGTTCTTTGTTGAGCTGGAGAAAACATTTGAGCACTTCCCTAAAAAATCCTCTGGGGGAAAGGGAGGGAAAAGAAAGCATCAGAAAAGCAAACTGACCTAGTAAAAACTAAGTACCTCAACCCTGTGTGCAAGCCAGAACAACCCCTGTATTAGAGGTCCTTTAGAAATTAAAACTGGTTTTTACTAGGTCCTGCAGCTAGCCCACTTCTTTTTATCACAGTGATGGGCATCTGATCAGCAGAGGGATTTTAGGAAGGTCACAAGAAAACTTTTGAGAATGGCAGTCAGTTTGAGAGCACAGGTCTTAACGTAAATACAGCAAAGCCAGAGTCTCTGATCTATGGAGATGAAGGTATTAGGAAGGAATGTGGACAGAAACTTCCATTGACCCTTTAGTAGAAGTACTTCAGTTATATTATGTATACATATGTCACTAGAGGAGGAGTTGAGGAAATGCATCATCCACCTATTGTAGCAGCAGAGGCTGATAAGACTTTCTATTAAACTTCTGCTGGGTCATAAGAAGAGAAGGGGGATTTAGATATCACAGAACTGAGCACGCTAGAATTATTAAATGTGTGGGGAGAGGATACACTAGTGAAGAGAGCAGTGGGGAGGAAGTGGATTTTTATAGATTCATAGATTGCAAGGCTGGAAGGGACCTCGGAAGATCATTGGGTCCAGCCCCCCGCACCAAGCAGGAAAGATAACTGGTGGTCAGGTGACCCCAACAAAGTGACTGCCCAGTCTCCTCCTGAAGATTTCCAGGGTAGGTGCCTGCACCACCTCTGGAGGGAGCTTATTCTACAGTCTGGACACCCTGACTGTGAAGAAGTTTTTTTTAATGTTGAGCCTGAATCGATCTTCCAGGAGTTTGTGACCATTAATTCTGGTTTTCTCCTCGGGTGCCCTGGTGAACAGTTGCTCACCGAGCCCTTGATGTACTCCCCTAATGTAGCAATAAGCTGCTACCAGGTCCCCTCTCAGCTTTCTTTTCTTCAGGCTGAAGAGTCCCAGATCCCTCAGCCTTTCCTCCTATGGCTTGCCTTTTAAGACTCTGACCATACGGGTGGCTCTTCTTTGGACTCTCTCAGGCTTCTCCACATCCTTGTTAAAGTGCGGTGCCCAGAACTGGACGTAGTACTCCAGCTGTGGTCTCACCAGTGCCGAGTCAAGCAGAAGAATCACCGGTTTGGTTTTGCTGGAGATGCATCAGTTGATGCATGCCACAGTATTATTTCCCCTACTAGCTACAGCACTGCACTACCAACTCATATTCATACTGTGATCTATTGTTACCCCCAGGTCCCTTTCATTCATGGTGCTAGTCTGGTGCCACCAAGCCTGTAGGTGTGTTGGGGGTTGCTCGTCCCGAGGTGCAGCACTTTACATTTCTCGACGTTGAACTTCATCAGATTCCGGTCCACCCAACTGGCTAGCCTGTCTAGGTCCGCCTGTATCTGTAGCCTATTTTCAAGTGTGGCCATGTTCCCCCATAACTTGGTGTTGTCCGTGACCTTGGCCAGCGAGCTCTTCACCCCCATATCCAATAAAGATGTTGAAGAGTACTGGACCAAGCACTGACCCCTGCGGGACACTGCTGCCCCGATTTAAACCACCAGCCAAAAGTTCACAAGGATAAGACTGTGGAAACAGGGAAATGACTACAAAACTCCAGAGTTCACATAGCTTCAGGGAGAAGCAAGAACCAGAGCTTTACCCAGGGAAACGAGGGCTTGGTAATTCTTCAGCATCTCATCCCGGTAAAGCACCTTGTCTTCATCTTCTAGGAGCTCCCACTCCTTCCGTGTGAAATACACAGCCATGTCCTCAAACACCTCCTGGAGCTGCAGTCACAAGTGTTATAGCATCAGTGTCTCTTCTTCCAGCCCCCACAGCCCTGTCTGGAATCACTCTGTACTACAAAACTAATTGCAATCTTAGCCATGACAGGTAAGGATTCAAAATTCCCCAGTCTTCAGCTGACGTGATATGGATGCAGCTCTGGATACAGGAGTTCATGTGTCAGCTTTAGCCCAGCTCACCGTATTCTATTTGCTCAGTCCATTGAGGTAGCCTGGGCAGCATTTTTAGAGGCAGCAAGCCCCGGCTCCATGCACTGTGACCAGGCCTTCCCATGCCAGCACCCCTGGCTTTCTGCACTTGGGAGGGAGCTCATGCTAATGCCCGCTTGGTGTGCTTGCAGGCTCCATCACCACAGGCTTGATGCTCTTCAGGTCTCTCTGTTCCCCAGATTCTTTACAGAAGCCCTGACTCCTCCTGCCCTCTACCCCATCTGTAGTTTCAGTTTCATAGTTGGTAGGGTCAGAAAGGAGCTGAGCAGATCATCAAGTCCAACCCCCTGCCGTGGGCAGGAAAGAATGCTGGGGGCAAATGACCCCGGCAAGGTGTCTATCCAGCCTCCTTTTGAAGACCCCCAGGGTAGGAGCCAGCACCATTTCCCTTGGAAGTTGGTTCCAGATCCTAGCCGCCCTGGCTGTGTAGTGCTCCCTGATGTCTAGCCTGAACCTACTCTCAGTTAGCTTGTGGCCGTTATTCCTAGTTACTCCTGGTAGTGCTCAGGGGAACAGGGACTCTCCCGTTCCCCGCTGGTCCCCCCTGGTAAGTTTATAGCCAGCCACCACATCCCCTCTCAACCTTCTCTTGTGGAGGCTGAACAGGCTCAGGTCCCATAGCGTCTCCTTGTAGGGTCTGCCCTGCTACCCCTTGACCATGTGAGTGGCCCTCCTCTGGACCCTCTAAATGCTGTCCACGTCCCTCCTGAAGTACGGTGCCCAGAACTGGACGCAGTACTCCACCAGCGGCGTGAACAACGTCACATAGAGGGGGAGGATCACCTCCTTGTCATGCATCCACATATGCATCACGAGCAGGTCCAAGTTGCAGTTAGCCTTCCTGTACTCCCAACTACAACTGAACCTGGTGCCCTGCTCACCTCCAAGCTCTCCTCCTGCTTTGGGGACCTGCTCTGCCCCTTCTGCACTTGGCCTGGCTCAGGTGTCAGGGAGCTCCTCTCCCCCAGTCTTCCTGGGGAAGTCCTCTGCAGTTCCAGGTTTACAGGTCCCTCCTCAGGAAGCTGCTGCTGCTCAACTCTGCTCAGGGTCCCAGCACCTTTGGGGTGGGGAAGAAAATACAAAGGTTAGCCTTGGTGCTGCTGGCACGAGGAATGCCCTGCTAGTCTCCAGTACCGGCCTGGGACTGAAGCAAATAGAGACTTCAACGTGTGGAAGAGGGGGGAAGAAGGAAGACTCAAAATCCCACAGCTCTTTCTAACAGACCTCCAGAGGCATGAGGCTGGAGATGAGCCCCAGTAACTGTCCTAGCATGGGGTGGTGATCACAGCACCCCGCCAGAGCCTACAGAGACATCACTCCCTGGGAAAGAAGCTTGAGGGATGTTGGGGTTGTATCAGTATCCACGTTAAGGGGAGTGGGGAGGGGGGAGAATACAAGGTCAGTCTTCTAGAGGGCACGTGAAATGTTTCCACGGCTACTGGGAGAACAAAAAACACTGATCTGTTGGAGCACTGACTCCATCAAAGTGTTCTGGCAGAGATTTCTCCACTGAGGGATAGTGCCTCCTGCTGCTGGAAAGGGGAGAACCACTGCTCCTTACCTGCACCTGAGGAAGGGCCTCGTCTGGGGCACCAGCCCGAGGAGCTTTCATCTGACAACTCCCAGGTCTCCTCGGTTTCAGGGGAATCTGCAGCAGGAGAGAGCCCTGGGTTAACTGTACCTGAACCAGCCAGAGGCCACTAGGGAGTCTTATTTCCCCAGATCACCTGCACCAGCCCCTTATTGAGCACAAAGGGCTCATGGGGGCATGAGAAAGGGGCCAGTGAACATTGACTATTGGAATATGAAGTACATCACTGATTTTTACCATGGCAGCACAACAAAGCCCAAGCAAGATAAAGCCTGTCTGTGCTGGGTACTGCATACGTGCAGTGAGACAAATCAGGGTCCTCAGCCTGGGAGCTGTTCACTCACAGGGATTAGAGCTCTGTCCCATCCCAGCCCTGTGGTTATGGATATTGTAGCTCTGTCATGGGCAGGAGCAGACATTTGACCCTCTTCCCCTGCATGCAAAACAGCCACTCAGGCACCCAGATCCACGCGGAAGCCTCCATCCTGTAACTCACCTGACTCCTGGTGGGGTAAGGGCTCCTCTCTGGAGACGAGAGGTGGCTTGTCCCCATGCTCTGGGGTTTCCCCCTGTCCTGCCTCCTCCAGGGGCCTGTTCCCATGATGGGCCTTTGGCGGCTCCAGCCAGGAATCACCAGGGTCCCGCCGTGCCCCAGTGGGCTGCACCTTGTATGAGGATACCGCCCTGATCTTCACACTCGTTGTGATCTACGAATGAGATAAATATGTCATTGCAGGGCCAGGATCTGGGAGAGACGGGGCTGGGAGGGAACACTGTGCAAGCGCATGGAGATGGGAACACCCTCACCTGGAGATTTTCGTCCTCGTCCTGCCCCAGCTGGAACCCCTCGGCCAGGGCCACGGCATCCGCACAGGTCTCCACGCCGCACCTCCACTCCCAGCTCTGCATCTCCTGGGGCAGGATGGCCAGGAACTGCTCCAGCACCACCAGCTCCAGGATCTGCTCCTTGCTGCGGCGCTGGGGCTCCAGCCAGCGCTGGCACAGCTCCCACAGGCGGCTGCACACCTCCCACGGCCCCGCGCCTTCCAGGTAGCGAAGGCCCCGGAAGCGCTGGCGCCAGGTCTCTGGGGTGGGGAGGTCGTCCCCCGCTGCCAGCTGAGGGGTCTCCAAGGGCATCTTGGCCTCCGAAGGGGGCTGCACGGCCTGCATCGCCTCCCGCCCCTGCAGCTCCTGATGTTGGACTGGTGCCTCCTGCAGCTGCTGCTTTACCGCCTGTGATGCAGACCGACCGCGCCCCTGGTCCCGACCTGGACCACACGAGGGACTTGTCCTGCCCGCAGGCCTCCTGCGTCTGCTCCCCGGCTTCACTTCAGGCTGCCCCAGGGCTGCGCAGGGAAGGGCCAGGCTCCAGCGCCCCCGTCGCCCCAGGAGAGGCCTCACCCCGCGGGGGCTGCACTCTCACCGCGGGGCTGCCCACAGCGGGAAGGGAGGCAGCGCCGCCTTCACCACGTGATGGGAGCCCCTGGACGCGACCCTGCCGCGACTGTCCCCACTCGGCACCCTCCGCG